AGAGAGAGAGAGAGAGAGAGAGAGAGAGAGAGAGAGAGAGAGAGAGAGAGAGAGAGAGAGAGAGAGAGAGAGAGAGATGGCATTAAAAAAAGTTTGCGGATTTCCAACTTATAAAAGGTAACGACCACAAAATACAGGGGTATTGGTTCATAGCAGTCTACAAAACTAATTGGAAAATCCGCTGGGCAATGGACATTAGAGTCCAACCAAAAAAAAAAAAAAAAAAAATGTCTTCAGAGCAGCACTATCAAAACCTGACACAGATAGACAGCTGAACCCAAACCAATGGAAACTAGACCCTGGAAAGTAGAAAACAGACCAGCACTACATCATTTACTTCACCATCTATTCCAAAACTAAAACTTCCGTGGCCTTTAAGAGGAGGAAGACTGTGAATCTCGCAATGCCTGAGCAAATGTGTTTCACCCCTTCTCAAGCTTTTCCACCATCAGAAGACCAATCTCCTTCCGAATAGCCATGTCCTCCCGAGCAACTTTGGCAGTGAGCTTTCCAATCTGTTGTTGCACTGCTGCCTGTTTGTACATGACTTTCACTGTGAGTTCAGCGCACTCCACTGATCGCCTACTGTGCTCCCTCAGTGCATCTGTCTGCTCCCTCATTACTACAGAGATGTCCTTCACAGGCCGCTCCCGGGCATTTGCGACAGTGCGTCTGCGCTTTGCCGACGTTCTCACTTCAGCCCCTTCAGCACATGCATTGGCAACCCCACTCTCAGCCCTGCCACTACTGACAGGAGGAGAACCCCGACTGCCCTGTCCTGGTCCTCGCCCATCCTCCTCATTTCCAGGATCTACAACACCTTCAGGATGGACAACCGGGTTTCTAATATTGAAGGAGTCAATGAGATCAAACCAGGACCTTCGAAGGTGGAACGTGAGTCCAGCATGCGCTCGTGCCTCAGGTGACATGGTCCAATAGCTCTGCACTCCACTCATGCCATCGTGGACCAGCACCTTTCTATACCACTTCCACAGGTTCTTCCACCTATTTTCACAGTCATAGCCATTACGGATGAAGCCGGCAACACACACGGCAGTTGATATACCCTCCCATTTCTTATTCAAAGAGCAAGCATTGCCTATAGCTTCAGAGTTGACTGCTCGTGCAACCCTGTACTCCCCATGTGCGCGGATGAGGGCAAGCGTTTCAGCATCATTCCAGCGCCGATTTCGGTGACACCCATCACCGCCATTACCAGGGACTGCGCCATCAGAAGCAGTGGGGGGAGGGAGATGCTGCTCCTCACCCACCCATGGCTGCTCCTCACCTGGGGTCCCACGTGCTTGCACGCTACCTTCCGTCTCGTGATGTCCACGATCTCCTCCTGCTTGTGAGTCAGCGCCTGCTTGTGAGTCAGCATAGTCGTCATCCCCTCCCCCCATTTGGTGTGGCAAACCATTCCCACAATCGCGTGCCCAGTCAACACTGTCGACGCCCAGCTCCTGATCACTCAAAACCATTGTCCCAGAGGGGCCCAAGGCATCAGTTGGCAAACTGTGGCTTGTCTGCTGCACAGCCTCGTCGAATGCAGAGAGCAAACTACGTTGTGGTATGTTCTAAACAACCTGCGATTCTAACTGTGACACGTCTACACCCAGCTGTGACATGTCTACACCCCCCACCCCCCCGACGGACGACTGAGGAGACAACAACGGCTGCTCCTGCAATTGCTCCGTAGACCATTGAGGCATGCTGAAAGTGTGAGCGTCGGTTGAAGGTGAGACTTTTGTTTGGTCTTCGTTGCTTGAGCTCCGCATTGCACGCCGACGCAAGTACTCCCTCATGTCCTCCAGTGACCTCTGATCGGACGAACTGGCAACGAACGAGTGGGGGACTGGCTCCACTCCACTGGTGGTGTGCGCCATTGAAGGACCACTACGTGGAGGTTCATGCCCAGAGAATACACTTCCACTGTTCCCAACAGTGCGAAGAGCCTCCATACTCAGCTGTGTGGGAGTGGTTGCAGTGCCTGGTGACGCCACACGGAACAGTGCACCCGCTATGGAACGCTGCCACACACGAAGCTATGGAACACGAACGAGAGCGTTCCCGTTTTCCGTTTCCGAATACAGGTGTTGCGCGCCGCAGGCAGAAAAAGGCAGAAGACAGTACATTACGGATTCGGAGTACGTGGTCCTAACTGCGAACTACATCTTACAGGTACTGAATCCGGACGCCGGGTGGAAGCAGCAAATAATCAACCGTGACCTTCGTCATATGGGCCTCGCTCCACCACTCTCGGCAGGCACGAAAGACAAAAATCTCAGCGGTGTATCTTTCCATCTTCTAGCGCAAGATTCACTCTCTTTTTGCACATTTCG